TAGCACTGCAACCAAGAGTCAGTTCTCCTATCCATAGCCCCAGCTGCCTTCCCAGTTCCTGATGACAGCCACCACCCCATCCATTTTTATTACCTACCATTTAATGGGCACTGATATATTTTGCTTTTCATTTCTGTGTGGTTTTCATTAGACTGCAGAGTGCTGTCTCGCTACTCTTTGTAGGTAGTGAGCGTTCCAGCTTCTTCACGCAAATGAGCAGGAGAAATGGGTTTCTAAAACATGTCAATGTGTGTGGTTGTGCACATTCTTCTCAAAGTACCAGATGGTTACTTCTAACTTTTACTTTTTTTAGAAAAGAAGAGGCTTATTTGGGACCAATAAATTCTGCCAGGTAAGGGATACTGGTAGCTGGAGCTGTGTGGCAAGGATTCGATTTACTTTTTTTTTTTTTCCTTTTGAAAGCTTTGTTACGATTATTTTCCAGTGAATCATAATTGTCCCTATCTGCAGACTTCTCTGAGTAAACAGAAATAGCATGAGCTAAATTGGTCTAACTAAGTAACAAGCATTTGGTCACTTAAAATTTACATCTTACACTTAATAATATTGTTGAAAGCATTCATTTTTAACAATTAAATGCCTATGAACTGCCAATTAAAACTTTTAAAATATTGCTTTGGTGTGTAATTGCAATTCCTCCAATAATTTACCTTAATATGGTATATATGAAGTCATTATTATATACATATGTAATTTTTCATTTGGTAAATTTAATTACTTGACTTTTTAGGGTTTATAAGAATGTCTTTATTAATCTAGGATGCATTATTTATTCTGGAAGTTATTGTATGAAGAATAGAAGAATTGCCACTATTGTGTAACTTTCTGGGGAGATGTAAAGAAGCATCTCCTCAGCCCAGCTGCTGAGGAATAGATTCTGTCCAACTTTATTGTTCCAGTTCTGTCAATAAGTCCATTGGAGTTATTTACAGGACTGAGCATGAATCAAAGGTAGCTAAGCTACTAGGAAGTCTTGTAGGCAATATACAGACATCTGTGCTCTGAGGAGTCCTTCCCACTACATGGACAATGCCTATAAACTGTGCTACTCAAGAGTGCCCTGAGCAGCTTGCAAGCAATTTCCCAACCATAGTTCATTGCTTACTCTTTATGTAACCTTGCAGGAGGGAGTGACCTCAGAGAGGATAGCCATGAAGGCTCCTGAGCCCCGTAAGCCCCGTGAGCCTTGTAGGCTCTGCCTGTCTCCAGGGAGAATCACAGCAGCTCTGATTCTGTGTGCTGATGATCACATCCAACCCAGAGGAAACAGGGTCACCACAGAAACAGATATGCTCAGCAGATCACATTCTGACTACAGAAAGCACCTAATTAGTAAGACAAACAAAAAAGTGTATATAATAGTAATCATTTCATCTAACTTTTAAAACATTGCAGAAGACACAAAACAAAACTTCGGAAGATTACCACTTTCTACGTTTTAAAAATCTGAAAACCTTTTTCTTATGCTGCAAATTTAAATCTCGCCCATATGTTCAGGCATTCCAGGTCAGATGTGAGGACCCAGGGCAATAGCACTTGTTTCAGAGGATCCGACAGACTGGGCAACTAGATCATCTATAACCCTTTACATCTTTTTAAATTCATGACCAACAAACCACATTTGAATTAAAAACTGTACTTATAGATGTTTTAGACTTTCTGTTGCTGAGGCAAATATCCTGGGAAGCAACTTCAGCGGAAGATCCACCGTTATTTCTCCTCTTTGTACCCACAAGAGACAACACAACTTTTAAAGAGTAACTTTTCCATGCTAGACCACAGTTTTTGAGGTTTTTCTCAACAGTCCTTGGCTCTGTTTATTCTGGACCTGGGATGAGGCAAAAACATTGTGGTGTCAAGATGGTGTGGCAGAGGCTACATGTGTCATCGCAGAGAGGAAGCAGGGTGTCAGGGGACTGGGAGCCAGGTATAGCCTTCAGCAGCATGTGACTAGTGGTCTGCTTCCTCCAGCTAGGACTCACCTCCCTCGGGTTCTACTGTCTCCTCCATGCCACCAGTGAAAGATCAAAGGTGGAGCCAAAGTGGGGCATTTTCTATTTCAGTCATAGGATGAGAGATTCCTTTTGGATTTCAGTCTGTTTTTGCAGGGCTTCTGTGGCAACCCGAGCTGGTGGGCAGACAGGAGAAAACAGGCTCTGCTGGAGGGTTTTCTCCTTGCCCTCCAACTCCACCCTGGTCCCCCAGCCTATTGAGTCTTGCCACTCATGGGTCCTCTTCCCCTTAGCTGGTCCTCTCTGGAAATAGCCCTCACACACACGCCCAGATGTGTGCTTTGTCCCCTGGGCATCTCTCAATCCTGACTGGCGCTCGGGGTTCACCACCAAAATAGACATCTACTAGAAAGGTAAAGGGATTTAGAAAAGAGGTAAATATGGGTGCTTTCCGAAAATTCTTGTGAGGGGATGAGTCATGTTTCAGTGGAAAATAGAGTGTGAGACATCAGGGGAGAGACTTTGATATGGCTAGCTGCAAGTCAAAAGAAGGCAACAAAGCAGGAAACTAGGAAGCCCTTAAAAAAAACTGCTGTCCTAACTGAATTAACTCTAAAGAAATCTAGGATCTTACACACTACAGAAGCCAAGCCTGGTGCCAGTGTCTTGCATGGACCTCTTTAACATGCTCTGGGGGTGCAGGTGGCTGGGAACTTGCCTGCCTCTGTGTTTGAAGTGTTCAGTCATGACTTTCCCTTGGGGATGGAGAAGAGGAAGCAATGTTTCCAGGCTGAGGTGATACCAGTGTCAGATTTGAACAAGATACAGTTATATTAGGAGTTCTTTGAAAAAAAAAGAATTTAAGGGGAATGTTTCTATTCAAGGATTGTGTTGGATCCACCCCTAATGATCTTGGTTTGATAAAAATTTTAAAGTAGACTATTTTAAGTTCATATTTTATGTGTGGACCTGGGTATCAAACCATAGGTAAAATGAGGACATGTGGATTTATTTTAAGCAATATAAGTTTTTATTTTTAAGATTAATTTCCAGTATCTTTTTTAAAATGAGTGATAGGGAAATTGTACATCCTAGATGTGGTTTAAAGGATATTATTATTTATGTCTCTTTAAAAGCACCTTGCAAAAGATGAAGCATTAGTGTAGACCTGCAGCAAAGATGAACGAAGTGACAAGCATGACTTAGTGTTTGGTAGACAGCCACAAAATATTATCCTTCGTATTCCACACATTATCTAACAGGAACGCTAAGAATAAAAACTATCTCAATTAAAGTCTCTTTTGTTAACTTTAAAATTGGGGGGGGATTTTAATACTGCCAATTAAGTTAGCTTATTTTATGTTTAAGCTTAATACAAGCTGATATGCTAATGTATCCATAGGAGCCATCAGAAAGTATTTAGATCTACACATCTGCAAATAAAATAAACACCTAGTGTTTTCTTCCCTGACCTTGTGGGATTTGCTTTGCTTGCTGGTGGTTTGTTTTGTTCAGCTTAGTTCTGTTTTGTTTAATTCCCATGTGGTGAAACCAAGGACTGTGGAGATACGACGGTGGTAATAAATGACTACTGCTCATGAAGCCCTAGGTTAGGATGAGAGACCATTTCCACCATTCCAGAAAATGTACATTCAAACCACAGCCCCTGTAAGTGGCAATTCATTTACTGCCACGTCTCCACAACTCTTAAACTTGTAACAAAAAGCAGGCTAAAGTCCAATGACTATGAACTTTCAGTTCTGGAGAATTTCAGATAGGAGCACACTGTATTTACCTAGTTTCTACCCCTCCCCACACTGACTTATTGGGTGTTCTCCATCCCGTTCTCAGATTCATGTCTCCTCTTCTGTAATTATCTTCTATACATAATACATCTTCTATTATTTTTATACATCCCTTATAACAACAGTAATTCTGCCCTCTTTTTTGCTGTAAATTCTCTCAAGTGTTATACTTTGTTGATTTATAATCGTGATCAGGGATGGTGTTTATTTCTTGTCCCCTCGAATATCATCAGCTAATCCCATGTTAAACTCGGAGCTGGGAGATTTCCTAGGTGGTGGTGTCAGTTGACTTGTCCTGGTTCGCACCTGTTGATGTGTGACTGTTGATGTGGCTTCTCATCTGCATTGTTCTTTGAACCTCTAGTTGTCTGATGTTAATGCCGGGGCTTAGCATCTGGGGTATGCAAGAGAATCATCACTAACTCCCTTTTTATCTGCTCTGCAAAATAGAATCCTTACTTCTCCTAAGTGTGATGGCTCTACACCATGCATTTTTCTGGGGCTGAACACTTTTATTACTGTATATTTTTCCAAATATGTATATTTTATATGGAAGTCAAAAGGAGTCACAGGCTATAAATCAAAACCTTGCTTGTGATCAATATTTAAACAAGGATTCTGTATTAGCCAATCTCTTACATGCATCTGAGTGTTCATTTGTAATATACTTTCCAGAACAGTGAATTTCAATCCATAGAACATGAAAGCTAATAAATTATTTTAAAATAAAGAGTACACACTTCCTGATCTGTAATAAGAGCCTGACATTTACTACTTTGCCGTAAATCAAAACCTAAGAAGTTAAATATATCTGTGGTAACTGTCGCTGAGGTCATCTGAGACCGTGCTGGGCATTATCGCTTCCTCCACGGAAAATTTTCACGACTTATGTTAACCCTAACATTCAGGTCTCTGGTTTTCTTGTAGTAGACTCTTTAAAATACCTCATGTCTTTTTCCTGGACACTGGATGACGAGGCTTGTGGTGATTCTCTTGTGGTCCTCTTTGTGTTATCACTTCAAACAGGTTTGTTTGGCTTTTGTTTTTATCCTTAATTCCTGGAGACAAGAACAATACTGATGAGTGAGAGTCTTTGATAGCCTCAGCTGGGAACTAAGAGTTAAAACCTTTAAGAGTAGTTTTGCTTGTCTTATTTTCCCACAGTGCTGTCTCTCCTTCGAAGGTGATTTTGACTTTTTGTTTTTAATCATTTGCTCTTCAGATGGATCCCGTACAGAAAGCAGTCATTAACCACACGTTTGGAGTCTCCATTCCCCCAAAGAAGAAACAAGTTATTTCTTGTAATGTCTGTCAGCTTCGCTTTAACTCGGATGTAAGTATCACCTTTGTATTGCTCTCTGAAGTGTGTGGAGCTGATGCTGATTGGTCTGAATACAAACAAGACTCTTCATACAGGCATGCTCTGTGGCAGCTGAGAACTGGTTCCTCCTGGCGGCCCATAGGCTCCAGTGCGTCCAGTTTCCAAGCGGCTTAGATTCAGTGCTTCAAACTCGAACATTAGGCAGGGCAGGTGGTTAATCATAAAAATTAAGACACTCTCCGCACAGTCAGTCTCACCCGTACTGCTCTATAATTGACCCACCAATTCTATTTCCTTACCAAAAATACTTGAAACTTAGAAAATGTGAAAAAGAATTCAGTGAATGCTGAGGAAGACCATTGTTATCTTTGACAAGAACTATCATGTTTCATGCATGCATTCTGTCTTACTAAAAACTTATTATACAAGTTATGTTTCCATTTCATAGACACATAGGGAAAATTATTATAACTAGCCAACATAGACATTCTGCTAAAAAGGATACCATGCAAGGGTAAAATTTAAGTACATATATATATACACACATACACACACACACACACATAACAGTAGAAATCTGGTAATATTCAACTACCAGATAAAGTCAGTTACCACTGCATATGGGAATCTGAAGACTGTATCTTGCCTGTGGAATTTCCAAAGCTTCTGGACTCAAAAAGCCATTTTGCAAAAAAACAGATTTAATGTGTTTTTAGAAATATAAAAAATAAAAGACATCCTTCATCTATACCATGGTGTAACATTTTCATACTTCTACATGGTAAGGACAACAAAATTACACTCACTGGGAAAGAAGAGACGCAGGTCATGATGTGAAAAGTTAGGTTTACTGTGATTTCAACCAGAGCCTAGCAGATGTTCAGTACCTCATAAAGTTCCACACTGAAGAATTTAAATGAACATAAGTAAACAGAGGAAAAGAAGATGATAATTCACTTGACACCTCAGCATCCCTGAGCTATCAATTCTCCCCCAACTGTAAAGAAAGCAGCAGAGTATATATGCCCCCCCCAAAAAACCTTATCTTTTGTTAAAAATCAGCCACTGCTGGATAGGTGACTCTGTGGTAAAAAGTACTCATTGCTTTTGCAGAAGACCTGGGTTCCATTCCCAACACCATCCATAACTCCAATTTCAGGGGAACTGGCACCCTCTACTCGCCATCATAGGTACTGCACACACTAGTGCACTTACATCCATGCAGGCAAAACATTCATACACATAAAGTTAAATAAATCTTAAAAACCTTATTCATTCTAACCTCTCACCCCCTACTTGCCATTCCTGAGTTTTATCAACACCTTAGTTTATATACACACACATATATATATATATATATATATATATATCTTGCCAGCATTTGTTTATGGACCTATATCTAAATGTGAGTTCTTTCTGTTTTCTTACATATAGAGTAACACAACTTTTTCTCTGCCTTTGCTTGTTTAGTTGTTATGGTGTTCATGAATGTGTATGTGTGTGTTAAATGTACATGTTTGTACAGGCATGCATGCACACATGTACAAGTGAGAAGGTCAGAGGTTGATATCAGGTGTCATCTCTCCCCCTCCTTTTTCTTGTGGCAGGGCCTCTCACTAAACCTAGAGTTCATCTTTTCAGCCAAATTAGCTGGCCTGTGAGCGGCACAGATCTGATTGGCACTGCCCCCCAGCACATAGCCACCACACTTGGCTTTTCTGTGTCTGCTCAGGTCCTCATGCTTGCCATCTCCCCACCTCACATGACAATGCTTCACAGAGTAGCCACTCTGTCAATGTAGAGCATTCCCTAACCCCTTTGTTTGCAAATGTGGCAGACAAAGATGCTTATGTCCTCTTAATATGTTACCTTACATCACAAAGGGGAAGTAAGTTAGCAGATGGAATTAAAGGTGCTATCATCTGTCTCTAAAATGTGCTCAGTGTACAGGGCTCCTTAAAAAGGGAAGACATATGAAGCAGTCGTTGATGGTACATTATAAGAAGACTTTTTTTACTCATTGATGGCTGTGCAGATAAAGGAAGGTTCCAGAAGCCAAGGAGTATGCAGTGGTTCCAGAAAGCTCCATCAGGGAAGTCAGTTTTACCCATACCTTCATTTTAGCCCAGAGAGCTGCACATCCCATTTCTGATGACCAACTACAAGATAATACATTCGTGTTGCCTTTAGCTTATGATCGTCTCCTGTGAAAACAGTAGAAAGCGACATCATCAGTCTCTGTGTCCATGTCCCGTACTCTGTTTACATCAGCAGTCTGTGTGTGCACATCCCATGGCAGTTTATTGAGTGCCTTGTAGGTGAACAAGTACATGGTCTCCCATCTAGGGATACTGCATGTATATTCATAGTCAGTACACAGCAGAACTAGGATCTGGGTATGTTGCCGTCTTGCCTCTAAATCTGCAGGTGTGCCTACAATACTATCTCCTATCATTCAACTTTGTCTAAGGATTAATTGAACCCCTCCTGAACGATGGTGGCACATTCCAAAGAAGCAGCTTTCACCAGCAGATGATGTAACTAAGTCTGTCTGGGATCTCTCCTTACACAGAAAACTAGAACAAGTTGAAGGTCTTCCACTCGTTCATAGTCTTGGAGGGCCAGGCACGGTGACACACACCTTTAATCCGTGCTCAGAATGCAGGGGTAGAGGTGGACAGACCTCTCAGAATTTAAGGACAAACAGGCTACATAGAGACTGTCTCAAAAATTATAAATAAATAAATAAATAAATAAATAAATAAATAAATAAATAAAATAAATAAATAAATAGATATATTAAAAAAAACCGAATTCTTGAGCACAGATTTAAGTTCTGGTTCTGAACATAGAAAATAATACCCACCCTGTTGGCCTTAGCTTTCTCTTCTATGATAGGAACTAAAATGGACTATTCCAGCTCTGTGATTAAAAATAATCTCCATGGTATTGTCATTAGCAGAACATGACATAAACGTATCTGTCTTACAGATAGGACAGCTAAGACCTCAGAATTCTGTTTTCTACTATATCATAGAAGCCAGGTATGGTGCACACACCTGCAATCCCAGAACTTAGGAGGAGGAGAAAGAGCAGGAGAAGGAGAAAGAGCAGGAGGAGCAGGAGGAGAGCCAGGAGTTGAAGGCCAGCTTTGTCTACAGAGCAAGTGTGAGCCCTGGACAACATGAGACCGTGTTTAAAACACCAAAAACCAAAACAAACAAACAAAATCAAAAACTTCCATGGGTCATTTGGAGGGAGGTGTGAGACTCTTCTCTCTATATTCCATTCTACATTCTCTCTCACTCCTTTGATACCTGCTCACCATCATCCATTTTTTCCGATTGCACTAACATGGGTGGGACAGCTACACTCATGTTAGCGGACAGCCACCAGCTTCCTGTCATCACTCCCCAGCTCTGAGGAGAACAAAGACAGTAATGAGATTTCTGAGTCATGCTTAGATTCCAGGCAGTATAACCGCAAAAAGTCTGGATGGCAAACTTAGAAATGTGACATCTATGTGTTCCCAGTGTTTAGTAATGGCGCTATAATCTGCATAGCTGAGCTCTCTAACTGAGCATTTTTTTATTGGGGGAGAAAGTTTATTATTTTATAATTACCCTATTTACATTTTAATGCAAGAATTAAGAAGATGCTCATCCTGATTTCCTTTAATAACATTTCTAAATCAGCCTGAGACTGAATTGGCTTCAGTCTTCAGTGTAGAAAATACGTTTATTGAAAGATCTGGAAGGCAAATTTGCACAGTAAACAGACCACACTCCACGGTTCTCCATAACCCACATAAAACATACCAGTGTAGGCCTCCTACAGTAAAGCTCAGGGCGACCTAGTTTAAGGTTTCCACAGCCCACTTTGTCCAGCTTTTATCATCTCACTAGACCTCCACTGTTGGAAAGCGAAAGGCTACAGCTTTATTTACACAACGCAGCCTTATGTAAATGAGCAAGCATTAATCACGAACATTTCCCAAGTGAACCTTTACAAATTGACACCATTATCTTTGCCAGAGGCAGGCACTGCTGTCCTGGAAGAATACACTTTCCAAAAGAGTCCTGGACCTTTGTACAAATACGTGCAGTACAGATGCCACTTCATCTTTCGTTCCTCCTCATCTTTGTCTCTTTTTTAATCCTAACCTAGGGTAAGCCAAACTTAGGTTGTCATGACCCTGTATGTTCCTTTGTTCACTGATAAATGAGTGTACTGCAACTGGAGGATGACTATAAATTGATGAGCCTGGGTAGGAATCTTTACCTATTAGCTGGAAAGTGCCATCTCCAGGGATGAAAATGAGCTAGCATACGCTAGCTCTTAAGAGTAATACCTTGAGGGAGACATTCTTTTCCCTTTTTGGCTAGGTCAGAAGTTGGGAGATCACAAATAAATTTTAATTTGCGTGTTAACTTCAGTTCATGGAGATTAGCAGTAGGAGGAGGATCAAAAATACAAATGGAGTTTCACATAACATGAGAGCAGGGCAACTGGAGATGACGTCATTGTCATCATCATCACATGACCCAGTTCACTCTGCATGGTCTTCATCTCACCCAGATCCTTGTGCTTCGCAGGGAACCAGGAAAAGGAGCACAGCGACCTAATCGAGTTTTGCAGACGCTGGTTCAGGAATCAACCCTAAAATTTTTGGAAATGGTCATCAGTGCCACAAATTATGATGCATGAGATTGTATCCCCTGATGCTAATGCCATAGGCTTTCATTACTAACATGGCACTACCTCTTCCGATTTGCAAAATCTACAGTACTGCCTTTTGCATAGCACCTTCAACATTGAATCCCACCATAGTCCACATTCTCTTCATTTTATTTACTTCATGGTGTTTGTGAGTCGGTGGATTTTCTTGACATTGTTCTGTTTGGGTTCCGGTATGGCCTTGGTTTAGCCAGTATCTCTTGATTTTAGCCCTCTGTCTTTCTTGCTATGCTTTGTGTCTTCCTGTCTGGGGATATTAAGAGGTGACCTCATAC